CCCCGTCCGCCCCTTCTCCCTGGTCACACACCCCAATCCACAGCAGCCTTAGCTCTTCCTGCCAGGTTCCCGGGAGGGTCAGGAGGGCCGGCTGTGAGGACTGTCCTGTACTCCCACCTATAGGGGCTCCCTGCCCAATGGGCTGGATGTCGGCGCCTTCAGACATTGGACAAACGCTGGGCTCACTCTTCCCGCCCAGAGCCCATGTGAGAAGCCAACAGGGAGCTCCCGCTGTGGGCCAGCCCCAGGGCTCTGGGCCACTGGGAAGGAAGGAACCGGGCAAGGTGCTGACCCATCATCTGCATCAGTCCGCAAACACCGCTGGGCTCTGGGATCTGAGATCAGAGAGGAGGAAGGCCCTCCTGCAAGGGACCACAGGCCAACACGGACATCCTGCCAGCCCCCGTTTGCCCAGTCACCTGGCATGAGAGTCCGAGGGTGCTCCTGGTGCAAGGAGCGGCAAAGGCTGATCTTCAGTGACACGAGTGTGGCCGGGGAAGTGCAGCTGGCAAGGGGCCTCTGCTAAGCCAAGGGGAGGGTGTGAAGGTCCTGCAGGGCGTGAATCAGGAGTGATGGGTGGGCGTCTGGGACTGTGGGCTGAACAGATGACGGCACGCACGCTCTGGTGTTCACTCAGCACCCACTGAGCGCCAGGCTTGCCTACACGAGACAGGGACGAAGCCCACCCTCACGGACCAGCAGTCGGCCCGGCTGCTCCTGGAGCCCAGGGCAGCAGGAGCCAGCGAGAGCTAGATGCCCTCTAGGGGCTGGGGTGGGGAGGGCAGAGGAGGAGCCTGCACAGAACCGCGGCACTGTGCAAAGAACAGAAAACGGCTCCTCGCTTGGTGCCCCATCCGTAAACGGGTAACGCTCCTTAGAGATGCTGCAAGGACCAAACCAGTTCGGACGCACCGGCCCCTACAGCCGCGCTATTAGCACACGGTTGCTCCGCTCGCGTGCCTTGCAAGCGCAAGACCGGGGCTGCGGCCGTTGCCGGGGGTTCCTGTCGTGCCTATGACGAGGCGCTCACCTCCTGCCCTGCTGCCCTGTCCTTTATAGGTGGGCCTCTGGAAGAACCAGGCGGAAGACCGCGAGGTGGATCGCGGCGAGTCGGAGGGTGCCGCGCCGGCGGCGGAGGCCCGCGCCGGGCTGCTGCGCCGGGGCCAGGCCGAAATGCGGCGGCGTGCGGAGAAGGCCCGGCAGGCGGTGCTGCTCAGCCTGCCCCGCGTGCGCGAGCTCGAGGCACTGGCGCGCCAAGTGCCCGACCTGCGGTGCTGCGTGCAGCGGCTGGAGGCAGAGCTGCGGGGCTGCAGGTGAGTGGGTGCGCGGCGCGGGTCGCAGGCCCCACATCGACTCCAGGCTGTCAAGCTTCCTTCCCACGCGTCCTCAGGAATCCTTTCATCCACCGTTCTTCCGTTTCTCAAGGTGTTCCTCTACCCACTGCTCGCTCTCAGCCAGCCCTCCATCCTGTTCACGCACAAAGCCTGCCTGTTCATTCGTGAGCTGCACGTGGTTATGCCCATCCGTATTTGCCCTTCGGTTCGATCATGATAGTAGCTCCCAATACCGAGCTGTTCCAGGGCGTTTACCTGCACTGGGCTCTCGGTTTTCCTTGGGAGTAGGGTCAAGTGTGGGGGTCTGGACTTGCTGTAGGTTCTGGCGAGGCACTGCCTGTGGGTTGAGAGCGAGGGTGGGGTGTGGCCTGGCAAGATGGCCAGAAATGGGGAGAAACCAGCTAGAACACGGGCTAAGCCCTGAGGCAAGAGGAACCTCGGCCCACCTCAGAAACTGAAAAGTGACCACAGTAGCTGGAGGGAGTAGCTGGCAAGGCAGGGAAAGGCCTGGTGACTCAGGCGAGAATGGGACTTTCTGTCTTTCCTTAAGAGAACACGGAGTCATGAACAGTTCTAAACAAGGGGCTGAGGACAGACTAGCATTTCAATATAGTTACCTTGGCTACAGTTGTGAGGATGTGGGGATGTGAGGGGGTGGCAGGGGGAGGAGGGGTCTGGCCCTGGCTGCAGCTGGAGCCGGCTAGCCTCCTGCAGCTCCAAATGTTTGGGTAGTCATTTCCTGTTTGCATAGCTGATCAGCTAAAGTGCAGGGCTGGCTGGGGGTGGGGGTGGGAGGTCTTGCCTTGGAACATTCTCCAAAAGGAGAAATAACGGGTCTCTTTTTGGTTTTGCCCTGAAGTCACAATCAGTCCCTCTGCCCTGTACAGTAGAAAACGTGGCATTATATCCGTACCCAATTTACTCTGACAACACTGTGAGATAGAGGCTTTACCCCCATTGTGTAGACTGTGGCAAGTGAGGCCCTAGGTCTGTAAGGCCAAGGTGCACAGCTAGAAAGCGGAAAAGGAAGGGTTGCCTGGCCCTGCAGCCCGTATTCTCTCCTTTTCACTTCACCTTTTTTTGTTGATTCACAGTGACAACATGGCTGCTGCAGCTCCAGTCCTGTTCAGGCATAAGCAGAGGAAGGGCAGCAGTGGGGTGGGAGGGTTTTTGCCTTTGTATTCCCACCAGAACTTGCACCTATATCTCACTGGCCAGAACTGTGTCCCATGACTACCCCCACCATCAAGGAGTCCAACTGTCAGCCAGTCCCAAACAAAATTGGGGTTTTATTAGCAAGGATGAAGGGGGAGCAGCTTGAAGACACTCTAGACACATGTTATGAACAAGGAAACAGGACCAGAGAGTGGGAGACACCATATGAGGACCACATGGGGACAAGGCAAATGGCTCTGTCATTTGTTCCTCTGCCTCTCACCCTTGCCAGACCAGCAGGCAGACCTCTGCCCCTTCTCTGCAGTCAGACTGCAGGTCTGGGACTGACATGCCCCACACACACCCTCTGTGAAGGCAGGAGGAGAGGAGGTGGAGAGCACAGGCATTTGATGGTCACCAACCGTCTGCCAAGTGTGATGCCTGACACTCTCTTCATCAGCCATGCAGCCCCTGAACCAGCTTAGGAGAGCTACCTGCACTTCACAGAAGGGAACACAAGCCAGCGTGGCACAGCAAGGAAGCAACAGGGCAGAATTTGGATCCCAGGTTGGTGGTACAACCACACACACAGGTGTGGTCTGGTCAAAAGCACAAGTCCTCCTTGCCTCTCCCACCCTGGACATGTGGCTGGCGGGGGAGGGGCTGGGTGTGGAGGCCAGCGCTACTTTTGCATTTCAAGTGCCAGAACTTAGATGTCCCTGCATGATGAGCCAGGACCCTACCCCCACAGCCACAGCAGAGGGCCTACAGTCAGGACAAATGACTGGAAGGGGCCCCCAGCCCAGACATTAGCCCTAGCATGTCCTACAATGATGTCACTCTGGGATGTCCCCAGGCGCCCTGCAAGTGTGTCTGAGGGAGAGTGCAGTGATGGAGCTCCTCCCTTGGGAGTGACAACTAGAAGCCATCTGCTAAGAAGAGACCAGCTCACTCCCATACCCATGCTCAGAGGCTGGCATCAACTCCCCAGTGAGCAGGGAGTGTCACACACTGCCACCTCTCTCACATGGGGTCTCAACAACTCAATTTTTCATTTCTAGGACTTTTTTTCAAGTTCATTTATTTCTCCCACGAGTAAGATAAGTAGAGACAGAAAGAGAGAGCGAGCACTCCCAAAAGGATCCACCCCAACCTCAGCCAACCCCAGATCTCACACACACACATGCCTGGCATACTCAGGAAGGTTTCCAGATGTGAACCCGGAGCCCTCCTTCATGGCCAGCCTTTGCAGGGCCACCTCTTACCACTGTGCCATTGGGCCCTGGTTTCTAGGCCTTCTGTTCAGTTCTTTCTACACCTCCACTCTCTCTCTACCTGCTGGGCCCTTGGTCTCCACCATCTTCCCATCCTGGGGTGTTTTACATTGACTGTGAAGAAGTGTCCTGGTTTGATTTGCCGTTTTTGACAGCGAACCCATCTTGGCTCCCATTATTCTTGGGCCCCACATAGAACTGGGGCATGGTCCCATCTTCCTCCACCAGGGTCTGATTCTGAACTCCTTTTTAGATCCGTTTCTCAGCTGGAGTTTCCTACAGCACAGGTAGTAAGAAGTTGGTTCCCCACATGGGAATAAAACCTCAAGGCCGATAGGTAGAGTGTTCTCTTCTGTGTTCATGGTGAGACAGTACTTCTGTTAACGCCCCAGGCCAGGTCTGCACTGGCCCATGCAAGCATTTCAGCTCCATCTCCTGCTCTCCACCAGGCTGGAAGGCCCCCTTTTGCTGTCAACCTTGCCTTTGTATCCTTCCAGGTGGGCATATTTCCCCTGGCCTCTCTGTGTGTTTGCACAGGGAAGGGAACGTCCCATAGCACCTCAACCCGCCATCTGGAGCAGCACCCTAAGGGAATGTAGAGCACACACTGGAGCCACTGGAGACAGTCCCTGATGCACACCACAGCTTTCCCTAAGCCCCCCACCACCACCCATGGCCCATGCCTTGCATTAGATGCCTTGGGGACACAGAAATGGCATGGACATGTCCACATTCCTCTGAGGATCTTCCAGGCCCAGGGGAAGCTGGTTGGAGACGATACAGTAATGCCAGATACTTTCTGTGCTGGGTTTAGTACCTATTCATGCTGCCACTTGAAGTCCACCCTAGGTGTTCCACAGACACCTCTCCCAACCTACACCCAGCTGCTCTCCATCTTTCTCACCTGTTTTCTTTTTTCTTCCCTTTCTTTTTTCTTTATGGCTTTTGCCATAGGGCACATGTGTTCACCAGGAGAGAAAGAGAGAGGGAAAGTGAGAATCTGAGGGGATGGCCACACCGCAATCCCTTCTCCATTATCCTCTTAGGATTTTGGCCATGGACACAAGTGATTTTCAAGCTGCTGGGTTCAGGGCTCAAACTGCAGTCCTCTATGCAGGAGTCCAGCACTTTAATCACTACACCACCTCTGGCCCAACTTTTCTTCCTTTCTATCAGTTAGAAAGTGTAGAAGAGTGCTAGAAAATCTAGCTCATACTGACTTGAGTGAAAAAGTTGGTTTGTAGAACTGTAAACTCTAGGCACATCCAGCTTTAGGCACAGCTGGATCCAGGTACTCAAACAATGTTACCAGAATACACAGAAGCTCTGCTTCACACTTAGACAAGTTCTCCCCCAACTCACACAAAGTAGCCCCTGGACTGTCAGGCCATCTCCAAAATGCTGAGTCTAGTAAAAAGATCACCTCTCATCTGTGTCACCCTACTGAAGTCCCAGAACTGAGCCTTATTGCACCAATTTGAAAACATGTTCATCTTTTGCATCCCAAAGCCCCATTTGTGTCTCAGAACAGCCAATCTGTGGCAACTGTAGACTAGATAGTGAAGGCCCAGGGAGCAAGCCTGGTGGATGAGGGGCAGGTTTCCTGCTGCAGAGTGCTTTGGGATGGTTTGGGGACACTATGCTCTCAGGCCTGTGCCTGCTCAGGTACTTCTGTCCCTGCTGGGAGGGTAAGCAGAAAGGTCACTACTCCCAGACCCTTCCCCAGCCAGGAGCACCCCAAGGAAACAGGAGGTAATAGTGAGATTGTGCATGACACACGAAAGTAGACACACGAGCATGCACTGGCCTCCGTCCTCCAACATGAAAGAAAAGGGCACATGAGGTGACCCCTACATGGTGCAACGACCTGGTCCTTCCTGGAAGGGGCACACTTGGCTCTGGGGCAAGGGTCTGGAGTGGACTCATGGCATCTCCTCCTCTTGAAGCCCTGGCTCTTAGCCATGTGCCTGGCCCAGCCTCCTGCTCAGTGGCACAGAGCAGCCAGGCCCGGCTGGTGGGGACTTCAGGACAACTTGGGCAGGCAGCCTGGAGCCAGCAGCTCCCAGCAGGGCTTAGGCTCACATAGCCAGAAGCCAAGTCAGAAAACCCAGCCTAGCTCAGCATGAATAGGAGAAGAGGTGGCTGGCCTGGCCTGGGGGAGGATGAAAAGGCCAGGGGCCAGGGGCGGAAGGAAGGGCAAGACATTTGACCAGCCACTGTGGAGGGGACACACATACAAGGCCCTCCAAAGGCCACCACCTTTCTTCTGTCCATTGCAACAGCTCAGCCGGTACTGGAGGAGCCACAGTTACCGGGTAGTAGGTGGAAGGGTCTGGGCTATGGGCCAGGTCCATCTGGAACTGCCCTGCACTCACTGTTCTTGGAGGCTGCATGTGGGTGGCGACAGTAGGAGAGGCCTCTCCATCTTTCTCACCCCAGAACTCACAAGGCAGGGCAGCTGGGCAGCCCCACAGACCCTGGGCCCACAGAGGCAGAGACTGGCTTGATGAGTAGGGCCCAGGCTCAGAAGGCTCAGCCTGACCTGGGTTC